GTGGCTCCTCCAATTATAATATATATCAAAAATGTCTTACAAAAAAACATAAAAATAAAAACAGTATAAAGGGCAATTAAGATAATTTTTAAATTTTTAGTATTATATTTGGGGAAAGGGCAAGTACATCAAATGTGAGCACTAGACTAGTAAGTAACAGTATGAAGAAATTGAGCACAACATAAAGATTTAACATATTTAATTTAAATAAGTGAATGTAAAACCAGGCCTACAGAGATAACCCAAACACTAAACATGTACTAACATGTTTGAAACCCTGATTTTGATCGTTGGTACTACATGGCACCTTACCACCAAGAACCACCCAGTATGGCACTGGTGGCACCTGAGTACCATTGAGTCGAGGCACCAAACCATCAGACCTGCATTACCAGGCCAAGAATCAGCGGGGGTGACCCAGACAAATATCCACTTCCCCCAGACCAAAATGTGTATCCCCTTTTTTTAAAATGTGCTAGTGCTACTAGTCCAAAAACCTTTTTGAGTGTTTGAATATTCAGTTGTATTAAATCAAGTCATACTTGTTCGGGGTAATGGTTGGAGAGATTTCATTTAGGGTGGGGTGGTTAGATTGCAATGATTTTAAATCAAGACTCCACCTCAGGAACCTCGGAATGTTAGGCAGGAGATGAGAAAAGGTCCACAGCTCGCCAAGAACTTCAGCTATTCTGATAAACAATTTGATTAATGATGCTGACTCTTGCATACTCAACAGGTTATCCAAGTCTTAAACTTGATGTTGGCTATGAAGATAGCATTCGAACCACCCTTTCCACCGACATAATCATTCATGTGTCCATTTACATACTATTTTCTATGAATAGGTCAGTATGCCACAAATCACAGCAAAGTTTCCTATGGCCATACTCCTTACCTTGGGTTAACATTTCTTTTGTTTGTTTATTTATATTGGGACCACACCTGGCAGTGCTCAGGCACTACTCCTGGCTCTGCACTCAAGAATATGGCTGCAGTGGGGGGACATACGGAATGCTGGGATCAAACTTGGGTTAGTCACATGCAAGGCAAATGCCCTACCAGCTGTACTATCTCTCTGGACCCCAAACTTAACATTTCTACTATTAATAAATGGAGTAGGCAAAAATAAATGGCAAGTTGATATGGTGTTAATGATACAGATTTACACTTTTAATTTGTCTGAACAGTCAGGCTCAATGGTACACAATAGGTCTTTGAAAATAAAATGCAACTTTATAAAATTATGCCTAAGAATATTATGCCAATTACAGTAAGTTTCTGCATAAAGAATTTTACTTGGGGGCCAGAGATATAGTACAGGGGTAGCTGCTTGCCTTGCATGCATATTAGATCCTAGTTAGAATCCCAGAACATGGGGTCAGAGTGATAGGACAGGTAGGGCCGAGTGCTTACCTTGCATGTGGCTATACTGGGCTTGACTACCATCATCTTATATGGTTCCCTAAGCACTGCCAGGAGTGATCCCTGAGTAAGCCAGGAGTAAGTCCAGGTGTACCCCCCTCCAATAAAAAAAAAGGAATCTCGGCACCATATACAACCATATACAGTCCATTCAGCAGGAGGGATCCCAGAGCACAGAGCCAGGAGTAAGCTCTAAGCACAATCTGATGTGATCCCTCAAACACACACACACACACACACACACACACACACACACACACACACAAACATGAATTATAACTACTACATGATTCAGCAGTTATACCTCTGGTATTTTTAAAAGTAAAATTAATTAAAATATTAAGTCAAAAATATATCAGTAACCTCTAAGTTCACTGCAATATTTACAATAGCTATGGAAAAACCGAAGTACCCACCAACAGCTGAAGAGTCAAAATAGGTATTTGTGTGTGAGTTTAATATTCAATCAGAAAAAAAAAGAATGAAAATTTACCTTTTGTGACAATATAGACTTGAAGGCCTTATGCTGTGTGAAATAGGTCAAATATAAGTATGTAAACACTTGAGTATGGGAAATAAACACAAAAATAAAGTACCAGGAGTAAGCCCTGAGCGCCGCTGGCTTCCTCCCCCCACTCCAGAAAAAACACTCCCAAACCCCAAAATAGATACAGAGAGTCCAAAGATAGAATATATTATTGCCAGAGACAGAGATGGAAGCAAAATGTGTAGAAGATCAAAAGATGTGAACTTCCAGTAATAAATAATATGGGGATGTAATATCGCAGAGACTATCGTTAACATTCTGTTGTATACTTATAGGTTGCTAAGAGTAGATCTTAAAAGTTCTCATCAAAAGGAAAAGTAACGCAGCATAGGAAGGGATAATAACTAAATTTAAGGTGGTAGATAATTTCACAATATAAAAATATTAACTTGCTGAAGAGGTGGCACTTTATGAAGCATAGTTTTATCCCTGATACTACATGGCTGCCTGGATGCCATTTGTGTAGTCTCCAAACAACAGAAAAATTCAAACCATTATACTCTCCTTGAGAAACTAATGCTCTGGATGGGAGGCTTTAATTAAAAATGCAATAAATTTTCTAAATACGGCAACCAAATACAAAGATAATTTAATGTATTTACACTTTGCACATTTTCCCATACTGAAGTCCAGTTCTCTGCAATGGTTTACAATGTTCATGATAAACTGATGTACACCCCATAACCTCTCAGATTTCATCTATTAAGTATACCCCCTGTTCTTTCTACTCCACTCACATTCCTGTACTTGCTATAGCTGAACATAGCAGGCTCAGCCTAATTTTCTTTTTCTTTTGTTTTGGGGTCAGACCTGGCAGTGCTCAGGGATCACTCCTGGTGGGACTCAGTGGACCATATGGTATATCAGGGATCAAACCCTGGTCGGCAACATGCAAGGAAAGTGAACTACCTACTGTTTTGTCTCTCTGGCCCCTTCAATCTCACTTTAAGTCCTTTTCAACAATTATGCCTGCTCCCTGTTACATTGGCATCCACTCTATACAATTCCCTTTTGAACAGAACTATTCAAATCATTGCTCTAACTTTATTTTTTCAATAATGTCTGCTTTGTCCATCTTGCTTAAAGTTGTGTCTTTCTCCTCTTAATTCCTGCTATTCTGCTTTTTTCTTTATAAATCTTATATTAGCGTTTTATATAAATCTTATAAGTGTGATGTTCATTGTCCATTTCTCATCTATAATGGAAACCTCAGAAGGAAAAAATTTTGGTCATTTTGTTTTTGTTTTCTTTCTTTCCCCCTCCCTGCTTTTCCCTAGTATCTGGAGAAATGCTTGGCATATTGTAACTCAACTAAAAGTATTTTCTAAATTAACATTTCTATGATCTAACTTGCTTATTGTTGAGTCAGAAATCACTTAACCACTTTGATCATGAGATATGTTTGGAAAGTCAAACTTCCTTCTTCTTTTTTTTTTTCCTTTTGGGTCACACCCAGCAATGCTCAGGGGTTCCTCCTGACTCTGCACTCAGGTATTACTCCTGGTGGTGCTTGGGGGACCATATGGGATGCTGGAAATCGAACCCAGGTCAGCCAGGTGCAAGGCAAACGCCCTACCCACTGTACTATCGCTCCAGCGCCAAAATTCCTTCTTAAAGACAGGAATCATCTACTCCTTAAAAACAAAAAAAAAACAAACAAAAGCCCCAAACCTCAAACACTAAAACTTCAAATTCTCATTTCCCAACTTCCCACCAAAAAAAAAAGACTGACTTTTTCCCTCTAAGGAAATAATACAAAGTGGGTAGAGTTGTACACACCCGAAACATACATGAAGAAAGAATCACTTGAAGATTTTTGCCACATAATTTTAAGTTCTACTGAAGCAACACAAATGACAGTTGGGGTTTCAAAAAAGAGTCAACTAGAGGGTAGGATTTCCCGTAGGACTTTGTTGTGTTGGTGGTGGTTTTTGGTTTTGACGGTGCTCAGGGTTTACTCCTGGCGGTGCTCTTATGTGGTTCTGGGGAATCAAAGGAGGATTTGGCAGCGTGCAAGACCAGGCTCTACCCAATCAACGTGCTACCTCTCGGCCCCTCCTGTAGGACTGTGAAGTGACATTTCCACTAGGGCACCGCATCCAGGCTAGACTAAGCAAATCCTGTTTTTCAGGTGCCGGCCAGGCAGAAGCCTCCGACCTCCCTTCCTCCCGGGTTTAGCTCAGTTTAGCCAACCTCAATACTTTCAGGAGTTCGATTAAAAATAAAAATAAAAATAAAAATACCGCTGCTGAGTAGCACCGCGAATCTCCTTTCGCTTTAGCTTTAGCGAAAGGAAGAGTCGCGGTTCTACTGGGTCTTTGCACCTGTCTAAGCGCAAATTCCTGCAGCCTAAATCCCGTGACCCGCAGGGCTGCCGTGAAAGGCCAAGGGAATAATTCAGAATCTGGCGAGAAACTGCGGGGTTGCGATGATGATCTTGGATCGCCACCCGAATTGTCCAGCGACCGCAGGCTCGGGATGGAGATGCTCCTCCAACAGAGCCTCATCTCAGAGGGCCAAGTCGGGGCCACCAGTGCGTTCACGCCGCTGTCTAGACTCCAGGCTGTGCGTGGACCCCGCACCCGGCCCGGAGAGGAGCGGAACCCCCAGCCTCCGCGTGGGCAGTGGCCCGGGCCCAGGAGGCTCCCTCCAGCCGCCAGCTCCGAGAAGGGCGCGGCTCTAGGCGGGCACGACCTGGGATTGGGGGCGGGAAAGAAGCCTCCCTGGCCCCGCCCAGTGGGAGGAGCTTTTTTCCGGGACCAACCACTTCTCGGCAGATGGGGGGGTCAACAGTGACCAGCGTCGCGGCCCCGCGCGGACGCGACCTACCCCCGGAGGCTCTCCTTTCTATTCAGAAAGATTTACTCCCGTTGTCTTTTTGTCGCCACTACGAAGGGGCCGCTTCTTCTTTTCTACCCCGATCTCTCCACCCTCGACCTCCGTTCCTCCCCCGCTCCGGGGCTCGCGTGGTGTGGCCCGGTCTCCGGTCACGTGGCGGCGGGGGGGCGGGGCCTGCCCCGAGTCCTGCAAGTGCCTCCAGCCTCCTGGCCCGGCTCCCCGAGAAGCGTCGTCGGTGGCCAGAACGATGCTGGGCCCGCGTCGCCTGTCGATGGTCCTCCTGGCCGCGGCCGTTACCTGTGCCGTGGCGCAGCACGCGCCGCCGGTGGGTGAGCTGGAGCCGAGGGCGCAGAGCGGGTCGTGCAGGTGTGGGAGGTGGGGGGGGGTGCCCAGGTGCTGCGGGGCGCGACGGGGCCGGCGGGGAAAACGGCGGGTCCCCGACCGCATCTGTCCCCGGGTCTACGGATGCGCGCGCGCGCGGGGGGGGGAGAGGAGTGTCCAGCCGGCTGGTGGACCCCACCCAGGTTGGTCCCGTACAGGCTGCAGCACGGAAACAAAATTTCGAGGGAAAGGCTGATCTCCAAAGACTGGTGCCTGGTGATCTGCACACCCCCAGAGTTCAGTGATTGTTCTCGTTCTACCAGTTCCAGACCCGCGCGTCCTGAATGAGGAAAAAGTTCCCGTCGACGGATGTAAATAACTCGGTTCACTGCACCGCTGGGTGACTTTCCGCGGAGGGTGCCAGCCGCCTGCCCCGAGCGAGCGGAGCGGGCGGGCGCGCGCAGTTCAGGTCCCCAGGGGGCACCCTGGGAAGACCTGCGCGTGCCCCATCTGGGCAGTGCAAGCAGTCACGGGGCACCCCGTGACTGCTGGACCCCCTGGCTGCTGTGGCCGTCACCCCCGGGTCACATGCATTCCTGTCTCACCAGTGGCTTTACCCACTAGGAGGAAGTCACGGACCAGCCGTGATAGCGCTAAGACGCAGGGAGGGAGCAGCCCGACACTTATTTTCTAGACGAGGAAATAGATCCACAGTGAGAAAAATCTCTAGCCAGAGGTCACACTATTGTCTACCGAAGCAGCCTCCCTGACTCTTGACTGGTGCTGCTCTTTCATCATTCTCTTCTCTAAAAAGCGCTCAGACTGCAACTTTGAGTGCCAACCGATCAGATGAATGGGAGCTTGGGTACATCTGACCTGAGGCTTGAGGAGGATGACCTAGAGAAGCAAGATGTGCATGTTGTTTTTATTCTTCTATTCGTCTAAGGAGAACGGCTTTTAAAAAAAAAAAAGTTCTTTTCAGATGGGGTTATTCATTCAATTAAAATTGATGTCTATTAAAAGTGGGTTCAGTTGGTGGGGGGGTATGGAGGGATGGTTCAGCCAGTAGGCCATTGGCTTTGCACCCTGAATTAGAAGTACAGCGAATTCTAATTCACTGTAGTTCACCGGGATTCTATGCCTGGCACCTCATATGGTCTCCCTAGTCGCAGGGGGATGTGATGCCTGAGCACCAGCAGGTGTGCCCCCACCCCCCAAAAAAAGAAGTCCAAAAGCAGAGGCATGATTGTGGGTACAGTGATTACAGTAACAGGAAAGCAGCTTATGTGCATATATAGACATCCCATGAAGATGCTCTATCACCTTGTCAAGCTGTTTTTAAATAGTTCTTTGGAATCAACAGCTATCCCCACCAGCATTGGTTTCAGAGTAGCTGTTTAGGACAGCGGTTTGTTAAAATCCAGCCACTTGCTTGGGGGGGAGCTGCTTTCACGTATGTTTCACAAAATGAGAAAAGTGAGAGCAGGAAACTAGAAGTATTAATATAGAGAATTTTAGTTTTAATATGGACTTCTAATCATTCTTGTTGAGCCATTCTTTTGCAGTGGTGTTTTGTTTAATTATTGCACATGGGAAAAGAAAACTTTGGACTCTCTGTGCTGGGTTCTGTTCATGTTTTTTTACTGATCTGAAATATTCTGGTAGTGAATGGCACTAGAACTTTTGCATCCTCACAGAAATCCAGTGATCTCTTTATCTTATAAGCCTAAGCAGTTTTTCACTTTGGGTCATTGTAGATAAACTCTTGTGGCCACATAAAACTCAGAAGTATTTCAGAATTTTTGATAATAATAATAATGACTGCCTTTCAGTGATAACAAAAGTCATTTAAATGACTTGGAGCATCTGTGAGGTTTGTTTCATTTTTTAAAGAATATTATATATTTTGGTCTAGGATGATAGTCAGTGGGTAGGACACTTGCCTTGCATGTGGCCACCCCAGGTTCAATGCCCGGCACCACATACAGGCCCTCAAACTCCTTTAGGAGAGATAAGAGACCTGAGCACAGAGCCAGGTGTAAGATCTGAGCACTGCCATGAGTGCCCCCCAAATAAATAAATAAAATCGGGTTCATACTTAAAAACATACATGATATATTTTAAGGGACAAGGCTCACTGAAGAGATTTTCATGCTTTTGCCCTTTGAGTAAGCTGTCAGATACCTCTACTTATTAGCTATTTACAATCTTTGCCTATTACCTATTTTAATTTTTACCTATCTTGATAAGGTTGTCATTTATTAAAATCATGTATAGTTAAATTTGGAGATGATAAGAAATTTTAAATAACAAATGAGTTCACTGTAATTCTAATTCAGGTCTGTAGTTATCTTAAAGCTGGCTCTCCTTGTAGAAGTCTTGTTTGAAGGTGAGGGTATAGAGCTCGGTCTACTCTACCCCACAAAAATAACCGTTCTATGTCCTTTGAGTTTTATCTACTGGTCACCTCCAGTGCCCTGTTTCATAGCTACTACCTTTCAAAATTGTTATCATATTTACTATTTATTTGCAGACAGTTCCCATTCAGTTTCATATCTTCCTTGTTTCACACTAATTTCTGGCTGCCAATATTATAATAGTAAAATGTCTTACTTTCGTCTCTTTTTACGCGGTTGCTCTGTTGCCATGACTGCGTAGCTTGAAGGCTCGACAGTGCATTTTACGTTCCCTTCACAATTGTCCGTAAGAAATAGTATTGTCACTTGAGATTTTGCCATTGTTGTTTTTGTATTTGTGTTTTGCTTGACATTCTGTGGCCCTGGCTCAGAGGCTACTCCCATGCTCCTGGGTTGTTCTGGATGTTTCTGGGATTGAACCGAGGCCTGCAAATCATGTACTCATTGAGTTCGCTCCCCATTCCCTCATAATTTGAGTTGTGTGTTGGCTTTTGAAACCAGGCCAGGGAAATATAATTATTAGGGCACGTGAAAGTCATTGTATTTTATTGACTTGCTGAGTTGATGTAGTGATTATCCAAATTATCCAAATCCTAGAGCGAGGTGGGGAACTTTTTTTCTGCCAGGGGACATTTATATATTCACATCATGATTCTTGGGCAGCCACAGAGAATCATACATGTGTGCCCTGTTGTATTCAAGGGCCAGACTACATGATTCCTAATGTTCCTCACTTCTACCAGAAGTGCAGATAGTTCCTTTCTCAGAGTTAAATTAAGACTTTGGCTTTACCATTGGCTCAGTGGGAAAGTGAAAGAAGGAAGATAGTCTGGACCGGGGCTCTTGGGCGTGGTTCTCTCACCAGCTAAGTAACCTTCACAGCGCCCACAACATTCCCCATAAGTTCTGAGATTCATTGCAAGGCTATATACTGAATTTGGCATCAAATCACATCTTAAGCGAAATGAGAAGTTTGATAGTGAAGACATTTGAAAGATTGAGTTAAAAAAAACATAAAGAACGAGTATGAGGTGAACAGGTTAGAATGAACTAAAAACTGGATTTCTTTGGAAGCAGTGGAAAGGTGCCGGCCACACTTAGTGGTGCTCAGGGGACAGTACCAATGTGCCAGGGTCAGCTGCATGCAAGGCAAGCACCTTAGCTCCTGGATTCTGGCCCACAAATACAGACTTTCTGAACTAAAGTGGTACTTTTAAATATCCATTTCCAGCATGACTAAACACTGTAGCACTGTCCTCCCATCGCTCATCAATTTGCTCTTGTGGGCAGCAGTAACGTCTCCATTGTGAGACTTGTTGTTACTGTTTTTGGCATATTGAATACGTCATGGGTAGCTTGCTAGGCTTTGCCTTGCCGGCAGGATACTGTCAGTAGCTTGCCGGACTCTCCGAGTGGGGTGGAGGAATCAAACCCTGGTCTGTCACGTGCAAGGCAAACACCCTGCCCGCTGTGCTATCGCTCTGGCCCATGACTAAACAAGGAATGGTAAATTGAGAGTAATGTGCCCTCCTTGAAGCACGTGATGTCTTTCAGGGACCACCCCTAGTGGTGTTGAGGCCACCAGGCAGCCACCAGTGTTAATTAGAGGTCATCAGATTGCTGAAGGTTGAGCTCAAGGCCTACCACATACGCTGTGATTTGGGCTGTCTCCCAAGACTAATCTGTTCTTATTTTTTAATAATTTCATCCAGTAATGATTCTGAATACTTGGAAATCTAACTTCAGAGACTCACTCTCTGAAAAATCCTCATAATATAAATGAAATCTTGCAAGTTTTTAATTTAATTTTAATTTTTTTGCTTTTTGGGCCACACCCAGTGATACTCAGGGGTTACTCCTGGCTCTGCACTCAGGAATTACTCCTGGCAGTGCTCAGGGGGCCATATGGGATGTTGGGAATTGAACCTAGGTTGGCCGCGTGCAAGGCAAATGCCCTACCCTCTGTACTATGGCTCTTGCCCCAAGTTTAATATTTTAAAATTTGTCTGAAAGTGTATATGGTTAAAGAAAATCCATTAATACAGTTGGGTGTCCGAAGGAAAGTTTTAGTCTCCTGTTTCGTTTCCTTTACCTTCTACCCCCTTCTCTAGAAGCAAAAGCAAACATACTTACAGGTGATATTGAGTCAGAACTTACCTCTCTGGTCATGCTAGTTTTTGAGTGGTAGGTATTCATGCTATACCGGGTGCTAAAAGTTTGTAGAGTTTTTGGTTTTTTTACTTGGTTTTTGCTTATTTGGGCCACACCCAGCAGTGCTCAGGGTTTACAACTGACTCTCTGCTCAGAGATTGCTCCTGACAGGGCTCAGGGGACTACACATGGTGCCAGGGATTGAACTTAAGTTGGCAGCGTGGAAGGCAAGCACCCTGTCTGCAGTACTATCTATCTCTCCATCCCTACTAAAAGTTTTTAATCTCACCCCTGGATATGTTTGCGAATCTTTCTACTGATCATACGGTATGATCAATTAGTCTGAATCAACTTTAGCTATTGTCTGTTCTCGTATGCAGTGCTGGATAAAAATTAGGTTACTTTCTTTAAATGTTCTTTTCTACACGTTTCTTCC